ATCCTGTTTCTCTTTATTAGAAATGAAATAAGTAGAAGTGAGAGGTTTATCTGATGTGTTTTGGGAAGGGGTACTCTGTGTGTGTGTGTGCGCGCGCGCGCATAAGTATATATATGAGAGTCATTCCTCCATCACTCACTTAATTCTTTAAGATAATATTTTCTATATCCAGGCCTTTCCTAACAAGCCTAGTGGCGGAAGTCAATCCTTTGTCAACCCTTTATGCCTGGATAATCAACTCAATAGAAAGATGTCCATCATTTTAGAGTATCTTTTTCCTTTGATGTTGCTGTAGGAAAAGTTTCTCTCATATACCATAAAACAATTTCTTATCTTTATTAATTATTGGTTCCCATGGTTTTTATTAAAATGCTGTATAGATCCTTGCCTGATTTGATACTTATAAGTTAATTGGAGAATAATTTAAAAATTATAGTTTAAATGCTTTAGATTAGACTAGTAAGTCAAGGTTTATTTCCTCCGTTGCCTTACACCCGACTTCTTTTAGACACAAAATACCAGTATTTATGTTCATTTTTCTCGCATTAAATTAAATGCATTATACTATGTTGTATGACATAGACATCAGATATAACCTTTAATAAATGGAAACTGCTTTTTTTTTCTTAAGGCATATTGTTAAATTTATTTATTTTTTTTATAAATCACTTGACTATTCAAGTAAAGGAATTTTTATTCATTAACATCACAGGACTGAGTGTGAGCGGCTTGGTGTTAGAGGCTTTGTTAAAGAGATATTTTACAATTGTATTTTTAAAAAGAACTTCCATTTTATGAAGATCAGAGAGAAAAAGAAAAACAAAAAGGATAATAGATATTTGGACAAATCTTAAATGAGTTCAAAATTAAAATTTGCTATAATTGCTAAATTTGCTGTAGCACAATAGATATCTGTACTATTAGTGTATAATACTAGTCATTATAACCATTCTACAGATACACACACACACACTTTTCCATTATTGCCCATCTTTTAGTTTTAGTTTTCCGTCCACACCCTAGATAAAGACACAAACTTTTACAAACTTGAGACATCAGTATAGTTTTAGACTAGTACATCTTCATGCTAGTTTCAGATTTTGTTATTTTTAGGGAATGTTATTCCAACTTATCTCTTATCATTTATCTTTTATCTCTTTATTATTGATAATATGATATATTATCATTTATCTCTTGTAACATCTTTTATCTCTTAACATCTATAAGTCATTGAGAAGGTTTCTTTTTTTAAAAAAAATAAAAAAGCTCAGTCCTTTTACATATAATTTTCACTTAAGGCAGCAACTCTGTTCTCAAGATCATTGATCTCTTTGAGAATCCTATGAAAGCTATGGACCCTATCCATAGAAAAATTTATACACACACACTCTTACTTATAATATCAGAGGGTTCATGGACCCCAAATTAAGAACCCTAAAAAGTGAATAAAATATGTTTTCTCGAGTTTTACTATTAACCAAAAAGGTATTGAAAACCTATAACTTGGAGTTTTTAGGAGGAATTTGTCATCTGAAGAACTTGATTTCAAACATGCATTTTTTTTCTCTATTTTTATCCTAAACTAAATAAACTAAATAAAATACTGGTCATTTTTTAATGAGTTGTAATACAGAGTAAGAAAGGAATTGCCTCACATATCCATAGCTCTTGTTTTGTGCTATAAATTTCACCCTCATTCAAGACTTTTTTCAACTTTATTGAGATACATTAAGTTTCTAAATATACTGGGATGTATGTGACTTAGGATTTTCTTAAGAGATATGATTCACTATACTTTTATTTGCAGTCTTTGAAATTCAAAAGAAGTTTTGATTAAAATAAAATTTTGCTTAATTCCTATTTGTATGCTTTCAAGCTGTCAGAAGTTTTTCAGAAGTTCCTTATTTTGGTGAGGAGTTCTGTATATCTTTGAAAAATATCTTTATCTTAATTGTGTGTATATATATCTCCTGTTATTTATAGTTTATTTTTGTAGACATGTTCAAGTTTAAGCAGTAGTTTATATTTTAGACCCATTATTCTGCATTGTTTTCTAGAGTATTTCATAGTCTAGTAAAAAATCTTAATGCTATTCTCATAGGTTTCTAGTCCTGGAGGCTCCACTTAGCAGCCAAAATCCATAAAACCAAGAAGGACTGAAGCCTGTCAGCATAACTTTTAATCAACTCAAGGATTGTTATGGAAAGTCTCAAGGCCACAGGGCGGTCCCTCCCCCCAGGGCTTGGTATTAGTTGCCTCTTCCAGTTCTGACAGCCAAAGAAATGTGTGAGACTGAGTCACTGAGTCACACAGTTTTCACTTTGACACTGCAGAACAGCTAAAAAATGTCTTCTGTATTTTAACTATGAATTCCATACCGCAACCATAAAAGTAAAGAATATCGCCATTATTCAGAGGCAGTTATTTTATAGTTAGTACAGTAGTTTACCCTTATCCACAGGGTATTCTAAGACCCTCTATATACTTTGGATTTTCGTATACATAGTACCTATGATAAAATTTAATTTATAAATTAGATACAGTAAGTGACTAACAATAATAATAAAATAAACAGGTACAACAGTGTACTATAATAAAAGTTATGTGAATGTGGTCTCAGAATATCTTACTGTACTATACTCACCCTTCTTGAGATGATGTGAGATGATTAAATGCCTGCATGAGTAAGCATTGAATATAAGCACTGATTGTCCACCTGGTAATTGATATGGCTACTAAGTAACTAAGTGGCATATACAGAGTGGATATGCTGGACAAAAGGATGATTCACATCCCAGGCGAGACAGAATAGGAAGTTGCAAGATTTCATCGTACTGCTCAGAACAGTGCGCATTTTAAAACTTATGAATTATTTATTTCTGAAATTTTCTATTTAATATTTTCAGACTGTGGTTGACCATAAGTAACCGAACCATGAAAAGCAAAACCACGAATAAGGGAGGACTACTGTATAGCTAAATTATTCTCTGCCTCAGAGCCTGGTTTTGTCCCTGCTGAGGGACTGGGTGCCATTGATCACACACAGTCTCACACAGTAAGCTTTCTGAGCTTGAATTTATAAAAATCTCTGTACAGCCAAGGACATATAAGATTGATGTTTGTGTTCGTATACATATGTAATATATGCAAATAAATAATGATCTCTGTTTTTGAAATTATATTGGAAAATTCATTAAACCATCCCTCAGATTTTTTTCTGTTAAAAAAGTAGAATACTTTTCTTTAAGGTATATTGAGCTCAGGTTGTTATTTATTACTTAAAAAACATTTTTGCAATGGCTAATAACTTGTCAGTTTAAATTTTTAGGGTAAATTAAATTTAAAGGTAAAGTATTTATTTGAGGTCTCTCTGTTAGGAAATACTGAAGAAACCAAGAATACTGATTTGGTTTGTTTCCTGACTGATGATTTTTTAGAAAATATGTGGCTTATTAGAACAACATTTTTAATAAGAG